TGGATTGTTCCTTTTACCAGTACACCTAACCAGTTTCGGTGTCACACCGAAACCTTTAGACTCTGCACCAGAACCTTTGGACTCTGCACCAGAACCTTTGGACTCTGCACCAGAACCTTTGGTGACCACGCATGTAAAAGTTTGGTTTCTCTCCGTGTACAATACTTACAACGAGACTCGATGAATAGCGTTTGGTTCATACAGATCCCCCATACCCAGGAGTCGCGGCGAGCCCGAGTGATCTCTGTGCTGCACTCTGTTGCCAGAGAAGTGCGTGCGTGCAACTCACCTGGAACAGAACAGAGAAAAACAGAGGTTAGCACACGGAGAGCCTCGTCCCAAGTCCGTCAGTCAACTCGGCAACATGGCAACGCCGCCCGCCCGACACCAATGCCCCCCCCCCTTTTCCTTCCTCCTCCACTCCACTAAATCCAAGGCGTACGACTCGACGCCTAGCCAGGGACTCGTCGCGTGGAACCTGGTCCGCCTTGGAAGATTGACCCTCGCCGAACCATACAGACTCCGTTCACCCAGGACGTAGATAGTTATATCTTGTAAGTAAAATCTACGCGACTGCTGCGTGAGGCACACGAGGCAGCTGCCTAATAAGAGGAACAAGAAGGAGGTCGCGCCGGCGGGGCGTAGCGCCGTCCCAGAACAATAAAGCATTCCGGGAAAGCTGAAATGCAAAAGAATGCGGGGAAGATGAAAACGGAAATTACTATGCTTCAACATGGGTACCTCCGTTTTCTTGTTCCCTGCATTCTTCTGCATTTCAGCTTTACCGGAATGCTTTATCCAGAAGATGAGCGACAGTCTAGCAGAGGTTAGGATGAGTGTCGTTAGGTTTTAAAACAGTTTATAACGGACCCATGCATCTAGCACCTTGGTACCACATCTTCAAAAAAGGTTTAATACGACAGTTGAGTCATTATCATTGAGTTAATGCTGTAACAATGAAAAATGTCCATACACTAACCTAGACAACGACACCGCGACGGTTTAGAAGATTGTATAAACTCACTTTTCCGAAGCCAAACTTCCAAACTTTACAGAACCTCAGACACAAAGAATGCTACTACAATCCCATCTTTTAAACAAATTCTGTAAAACTTGATTTACTGAGAGCCTCGGAAATGCTTGGTGAGAGGCGGTCCCACATCCACTCGCGACGCGGCAAAACACGGCCTATGCGTTCTGCTTATTTGTTTCGTGACGGCGCTACGATACGCCACCCCCCCCCCCCCCCTCCAGCGCCCATGGATGCCAGGTCAGAGCCCCGAGAGCGAGCGACCATCTGCCTGCATGGCGTCCGAAAGCGAATAAAGCATTACGGTAAAGCTGAAATGCAGAAGAATGCGAGGAACAAGAAAACGGAAGTCGCCATGTTAACGCATAGCGATTTCCGTTTTCTTCTTCCCCGCATTCTTCTGCATTTCAGCTTCACCCGAATGCTTCATAGCGAACGAGCGTTGGCGTTCGGGAGCGGTTGCCGCGCGCTGACCCATCACGTGTTTACAGACCATGGACGACCTGCCAGACGACGCGGTGCTCGCGGTGCTGCAGCACCTCGACGTGTCGGCCCTGCTCGCCTGCCGCCTCGTGTGCAGGCGGCTCGGGGGACTTGTCGTGCACCCGGACCTCTGGCGGCACAGACGTGTCTCCCGCAAGGACCCGTGGCTGCTGCCGGCGCTGCAGCTAGCGCCGTGCCTGGGCGAGCTGGAGGTCGAGCCAGCGCGCGCTGGACGAGGCATCGTGTGCTACACGGCGACCAGGTGCGGCGCGGTCACGCTGAGGCTGACGGTCTCACACTACTCCTCCCTGCCTGGTGCCTTCCTTCTCAACTCTCAGCTCGCACTCGGGCGACTCAAGCACCTGCACCTGGACCTCCAGGTGCACTTCGCAAAGAAAGGCGTCTTTAACGCCTCCGTTCTGTTAGCGGCGGTGGCCTCCTCGTGCGGCCTGCAGACGCTCGTGGTTTTGGTCTCTGAGTTTCCGAGACCGTCATGGGCCCCAACCGCAAGCTTCATCGGCGACCTCGGCAAGCTCGACATAGCCCCAACTGTGCACCCGCCGTCCCTGCGTCACTTCCACTGCAGGCTCATACCGAACCTGGAGCCCTTCATCAACCACATCCTGGTGGCGCACGCCGCGACCCTGAAGGTGGTCGAGCTCGTCAACCCCGACGGCTCTCTGCGCTCCCCGGTGACGACAACGCTGCTCGCCGCCCAACCCAAGCTCAGCAGCCGTGAAAGTGAGAACGTAAGTACTAGTGTGGGAAGTGTAACGTACTGGGCTAAAATCAAATGTAGTTGTTTCCGTGGGCTCTGGGCCGCCGATCTTTAAATATTATCTCGGGGTAGAGAGTTCTAAACGCCAGGGTATATTACCATACTTTTCGTTTTAACAGGTCATGGGACCTTTGCCGGACGCCGAGGTTCTCAAGGTGCTGCAGTGCCTGGACGTGCCGGACCTGCTCGCCTGCCGCCTCGTGTGCAGGAGGCTCGGGGGACTTGCCCTTCACCCGGACGCGTGGCGGCACCGGCGCCTCTCCCACAAGGACCCGTGGCTGCGGCCGGCGCTGCGCCTGGCGCCGTGCCTGGACGAGCTGGAGGTCGAGCTGGCGCTGGCGAACCCATGTCGGCAAGAAGTGCTGGACTACATGACGACCACGTGCGCCGCGGCCGCGCTGAGGCTGGCGGTCAAAGACTGCTCCTCCTGCTACGAGGTCGGCGCTCTCATGGTCAGCAAGCAGGTCACGCTCGGCCGGCTCAAGCGGCTGCACATCGCTCTCGACGACCTTTCCCGTGACGGCGCCTCCGTTCTGCTAGCGGCGGTGGCGTCCTCGACCGCGCTGGAGACGCTTGTGGTCTCGGAAATCCGTTGCGTCTATCACGTCGCAGACGCCCTAAGCGGCCACCACTTATCAACTACCAAAGTGCACCCGCCGTCCCTGCGGCACTTGCGCTGCCCACTGCAACCGAGCCTGGTGTACTTCATCAACCACATGCTCAACGCACACGCCGAGACCCTGGAGACGGTCGACCTCCTCCACCCTAACCGTCGGACCTTGAACTGGGGGTACACGATGGTGACGGCGCGCATGATGGCCGTGCCGCTCAACCCGGGTCTGGAGTGCGTCATCCTGGGCGGTATGCCCCACCTCCGCAAGCTGGAGTGCTGCCTGCTGCCCGGCCTGCAGGCCGCGGCCGAGTGCACTTCGCTCAGGGAGGTCACGCTCTGGGTCAGCGAACAAATGCGGGACCACGCCGCGGACGCCGAGGAGTTCCTAGCGCGCGCCAGCCAGTTGCGCTCCGTGTCCCTGACGTACCGGCGCCGGAGCAGCGGGAGGAGGGAGTCCGCCGGCATCGGCGCCGGCCTGATCCTGGCCCTGACTCGACAGCCCGCTCGGTCGCAGCTCGAGTCGCTCGTCGCCGACAACGACGGCGACCTGGACGACTCTCAGTTGCGGCCGTTTCTCGACGCCCTGCCCTCGCTGCCGGCCCTGCGGCATCTGGAGATGAACGGCGTCCTACATGGAGTGTTGCCCGACCGCGTCAGTCCTGACAGGACGCCGGCCCTGCGGACCCTCCGCCTGCTGCCAGCCATGGGCCGGGCTCCCAACTGCGTGCACGGCTACGTGCACAGCCCCGCCCTGAGCGCCCTCCTGGACAACAACCCTGCGCTCGAGGTGCACGTGTGCGCGCCCTACTACTGCGAGACCACCGCCAAGCCCTGCAGCTGGTGCGCCATGGCCTGCCACCGGAGGGAGCTCCCGGAAGCCGTGTGGGAGACGCCGAACAAATGGCCCTACGCCAAGCTTCCGGGTCACTTATGGGTCAATGTTACTCGATTCGTCCAGCATTTGAAGAGGAAATTTCCTCAATAACTGTAGCTTAAAATTGTTTTGTGTTCATTGCATCAATAAAAATAATTAATTAATCTGTATTTTATTGGTTTTGTGATCTACTTTCTTTCCACACGAAGGCAGGCAACAGGATGTAGCACGTCCTTGCACTGCTTTTTGCAGGGAAAAGGGGGGGGGGGCAGCGTCATGGTTCAACACTACCTGTTGCATTTTGAGCCGCGGCTAGGGAACAGCCCAACAATGAACACCTTGCTCTGAGTAGTCCGCTCCGAGCGCACTTGCCGCCCTCCTAAAAACAATAATTGTTTACGTTTTTTGCAAGTAGATGATAGGCTACATTTAACACTAAAACTAAAAACTGATGGGGAAGGGGGGTGGGGAGGCTGAGGCCACGGCGCAGAGATCCTTCTCCACCATGCTTTAGGCTAACCACGGAGTAAAACTAGCCTACTATTACTCCGTGGGCTAACTACACCACACCCAGAAAATCGTTTCCTTGAAACAAGGCGAAATTGCCTTAAGTTAAAGAAATTAGCGTCGAATTAAGGAATTTTTCCTTAAATAAATATAACAAAATGTTTTCTTTGGCTTAAGAAAAAAATTCCCTAAATTCAAGGAAAATTCTTTATTTTAAGGGCAATTTTACTTTGAAACAATGGAATTCCTTTGATACAAGGAAAAAAATTCCGTATGTTTTTTCAAAGAAACACTTTTTTGGGTGCAGCGGACCAGCTTGCTGCAGCCATGGCTGCCCACCCCTCTACCGCCCCGCCGGGGGCCCGGAAGCCCGGAAAGGGGGGGGGGGGCAGCTGGGCGCGACACTCACGGCGTGAATCCCCAGCTCTCCCTCCCCTCGGCCGGGGAGCAGGGAAGGGAGCACTAAGCTGACCCTCGCACTCTGATCTGATCACTGATCACTCAGCCGCCGGGCCGCCGGCAACACGCTGGTCTACGCCTCGGTCATCAGTCGTGGTCCAACTGCAGCCTGCTATCGCTGTCTCGTCGACTCCCAGACCACGCTCCTGCACTGCACAAGGTTCTGTATCTGGATAAGGGAAGGGGACGCGCAGAATATCTGTTCCGTTAACACAACAAGGCCTGCTGTTCTTCTACTGTCTGTGGGGCACCGCAGAAAACCCCCCCTTTCTTGCTGTTGATTACAGACAATGGAGCTCTCTCTGACGGACCTGCCGGCCGACGTGCTGCTCGTCGTCATGCAGCACGTTGACGTGCCGGACCTGCTCGCCTGCCGCCTCGTGTGCAAGCGGCTCCACGGACTCGCTCTGCAGCCGGACGCGTGGCGGCACCGGCACCTCCACGGCGACCGGCACACACCGCAGGCCCTGCGTTTGGCGCCTTGCCTCAAGGCCTGGGAACTAGACCTTACGAGCCAGGTGAGCCGACTGCCGCTCGCGCTCTGTACCGCGACCAAGTGCGCCGTGACCAAGCTGGCCATCACAATAACCACAAAGCACATCGAGTGCGAGGTCACCGGTCGAGTTATCCGCAACCAGGCGGCGCTGGGACGGCTCAGGCGGCTGGAACTTTTCTTAAAGGATGTGCGCTATAGTATGGGTGAGTGTCACGAGTGTCACATTGAGGTCACGAAGCTGTTGGCGACGGCGGTGTTGACGGGTGGCCTGGAGGAGCTCACGATTTTTTGTTTCAACGGCAAGCTTCCGAGTCCGGACACTCTGGCCCTACTCGCCGGGCCCGCGCCCAGCCCGTCCGTCAAGGCTCTCTACTTCTCCGTCACTCCGACAACAGAGCCGTTCGTCAGCTTCGTGCTGGCCGCGCACGCCGCGACCCTGGAGAAAGTCTCGCTCTGCGAAAGCTCGTGGAGTTGGTGTACCTCGCACACCGTCGCGGCACAGCTCGCCGGCGTGCCCAACCTGCGCGAGCTGACGTGCTGTCTGCTGCCCGGGCTGCAGGCCGCAGCCGCCTGCGAGTCGCTCAGGCAGGTCGAGCTTCGGATCTATCGTCCTGATCTCAATCCCGATGACGAGGTGCTTCGCAGAAACCTGCTGGACGCCGGGGAGTTCCTGCGCCGCGCAGACCAGCTGGAGTCGGTGCGCATGGAGTACGTATCTGACGACCTCGGCGTCGGTCCCTCCATCCTGTCCATGTCTCCGCGTTCCCGCCTGCAATTCCTGGAGATCATGGACTACCGCCCCATCCGGCGAGAGTCGGACTACCCGCACCTGCAGCCGCTGCTGGCCGCCCTGCCGTCACTGACGGCCCTGCACCACCTGGAGCTGAACGCCGTGCTCGACGGGCTGGCCGGGGCCGTCACCCCCGTCACGGCGCCGGCGCTGCGCACCCTCAGGCTGCTGCCCGTCGCGGGCCAGACACCGTGCGCCCATGCCTACCTGCACAGGAGGTCGATGCGGACCCTCCTGGCCGACAACCCCGCGCTCCAGGTGCACGTGCTCGCGCGCAGTGTCTGCGTGGTGGGCTCCTGCGAGGCGTGCCAACGGCACTGCCACCAGGAGCTGCGCTGCATCCGCTGGCTCAAGGAGGGAGAGAAGCTCATCGACGACCGCAAGGATGCCGCCGGCATCCCACGGAGCCGCATGTGGATCAACATTACAAGGTGTAATCTCCTTTTCAATAATGGTAGTCGCTCTTGATTTCGGTTGGCTAGTCACTGGCTTTGAGTGATGGGCAGAATTCGTACATTACAGTAACTTTCCTGTGTGTGAACTTATTATTTCAAGTGTGCTTCTCTATTGATCGAGGGTTATGCTAATTATGTTACTTGTAAATCACACAAAATCTATACTGGACTATAGTTTCATAATTTGGTGAAAAAGCCCTCGTCGCCACATGAGGCCTTCCCTGTGCAACATGAGGACGACGTTGGGGTGGGGGGGAGGGGGCACCTTGCCGTCCGATAGAGACAGTCTTAGGGACTGTCTAAAAAGACACTTTCTCAACGCTCATCGAGGAACATATGTGGCTCGTTTCTTTAAATTCATCCTGGCCGCGCACACCGCGGTAAAGAACATTGTAGAATTTGCTGTGACGCGTTGCGCAGCAGGTCAGGTAGCCCGGCTGACACAAGTTTTAGTTGAGGGAAGGGAAAGTACAGTCGGCCACGTTACTCTGGGGAATGTCCCCGGCCTCTCTCCGGCAGAGGTGGGTTCCGGTGTTCTGGGAAGGGGGGGGGGGGGCTTGCGTGGCAAAAGGGATGACCCAGCCCTCAGCCTGCATAATGTACTCTTGCTTCCAAAGGTCAGAGGTGTCACATTGTCACACTTATAGATTTCAGATGATATGGTATGGAATTGTATGGATGCCCTCTTATGTTCTGTACTTTTGAACCACTCGTGCTTTGTTCTCCGTTAGCGCTCCTTTTGTGTTTTATTTCTACCAAATGCCTCCTTCTATGGGATCAAAATACGTTTTTATTTTGTGTATAAAGTAAAGTTTGTTTTTAATATTCTTCCGTTATATAAAATGTTGAATAAATAATGCGCCCGCACTTTGGAAACGTGTTATTTTCCCTTCTTTTCTGACAAACACCCATATAAAACGACTGCCACAGGGAGGGCAATGGTGAGGCTCCCACCCTCCCGCCACTTGGGCTGTCATAAGATGAGCAGGGAGCGCAACGGTAGTTGGCACAGGGAAAGCACCCTATCCCTATACTGCAACTGGATAGCGTCAGCGTCTGATAAACTAGTAGAATGCTGTGCATTACAGGCTGAGTGTGAGTGTGTTTCTAAAGTTATGAGAGCTTAAATTTGCCTTATGATTGTGAATAAAACCTATTCGAAATACTTTGTCTTTATTCACGATCAATAAAAGGGTGCATTGCTAGATGTCAATTAAAAATTACTACTAAACAAAACACATAATTCAATAAATCTGATAGAACAATTAATAAAAGGGTGCATTCATAGATGCACATTAAAATTAATACTCAACGACAACCGTACATCAAGGTGGATTTAGTCTCGTGAAAAAAGATCTGAAAACGCGTGTTTTTGACAGAGAAGCTTTAACCAATTGCAATAGTGATGTGCATTAAAGGCTGCACGATGCAGAAAATTTAATGGATTCTAATCAAAAATAAGCAACTGTAAAAATCAAGTCTGACATATATCGTATGTTCTTGTTCTTGAAGATCCTTCCCTAAAATAAGGCTATTGAAATTGCTTATAATTTTTGTTTCTTCATAAAAGGGTGAATTCATTGATGCAAATTAAAACTCAGAATGAAACACAAACTTTAATTGGATAACTCAATGCTAGATGTCATTGATCAACATAATCAATAAACAAAACCTATAACATAACGACAAACCACATTGTATGTCAACTGTCAGCTTGTCACTGCATAAAAGGGAAATTTATACCGAATGAATTGAACTCTGTCACGAATTTGAATCTTATATCTGGTTAAAACCTCGATCAACTAAAACGTGACCAAACTCAAAATGAAATGTCACTATTCAATCTATCACAATGGCATCTTGCAAATTATCGCTATCCACATGTCATTAAGATTAACAACTGAAAAGGTTCAAAATCAAACGCGACATGAATGTCTACTTCCTAACAAACTGACAGTTTGTATTTAAACAGTCTCCTACCAAACCTAACATGATCACTTGAAGGTAGGTTGTTTAGTGACGTCGTAACTTGTACATTATTCTTACTTCTTATTCTTATTTTCAACGTTAATTTAATCTTCACTTTATCTAATTTCCCTTTAAACTGCTAAAATACTTTTGAAATGCTAGCAGACGCCGGTACCCGACCCCGCAGAACGAAATGTACCAACATATCAAAATGGAAATTTTATTTG